ATGAGGCGCCTAAAATAACACATCTATTGATATTAAATAAGACGGTTAATGGTAATTTGTTTGTCCAAAAGTTGTTTTAACTACTTAAGATAAGTACGTATTAATAAAATCCTAATTACTATAAAACGTAGCCTTCTAAGCAATACTGGCACACTCACGAAATATGCGTTATAACTACCCAGTAGTGGTTAGTGACATAATTTATGTAAATTATATTAATTAAAGAAGTTCTGTGTGAATGGCGGCCAGACTCGTCAGCAGCCAGCCTGTCGTCTGTTGTTGATGCGTATCTTCTTAGGTACTCGACGTCATTCACTACGTTTCAGATTTGTGCAAATCAAACTATACAAGTATTTACACACTAAATCAGAATAATATTAAGATACTACTAGCGGCCGCCCGCGACTTCTTACATAACATAGGACTTTCATACAAACTTCCAACCCCCGTTTTACCTCCTTAGGGGTTGAATTTTGCAAAATCCCGTCTTAGTGAGCACCTTCGTTCTAAAAGGAACCCCCATGCAAAATTTGAGACTCTTAGCACTTGCAGTTACTGAGATTTCGTGATGAGTGAGTCAGTCAGTGACCTTTGGATTTTTGTAAGATTAGTATTGTGAATTTTCATAAAGACATTTGGGAACCGAAAGAAAGTATTAAAGTTATTTATTACGAACCATTTATCTCCGTAAATAGAAACGATTGTGTGAAGTGTTGGGTTTAAGTGCTCGTTAAATACAGAACAGAAAAGTGCCTCTTATGTTTCTATTCTAAATTGCATTATCATCTTGACAGTTTAAACGAGACAATAAACTTACTTTAATCTGAAAACGAGAAGTATTTAAATAATTCAATTTCTGAATTGCTTTGTTGAACACGCAAATGCATTTTCTTGGTCTCCATTATCCTTTGTTTACTAACGAGTCCTGCCCTAACGAGCTAGTCTGGTCTAGTCGAGCACTAAAACTACATCTTAATCCTAGATTCTCTTTGACATAGACTTGGTGCTATCGCGAATCAGAGATCAAAGCAAAATTATTTATTTCGCTCACTCCACCTTTCGGCCTTTTCATAATAAAACCGAAAAGAAAGCCCCATTCAGTTCTCTAGAAGCTTCGTAGCTTGAACTTTGTAGCTCATACAAAATTAAATTGTGCTGCAAGACGGGATAAACTTAATTTTAGAAATGGTTCAACAATGTATTTCTTTTCTTGAATTTGTGCAAAGAAGTGTATACAGCAACTACCTTTTTATCTAGATAAGCTAGCTTTATTTATTAGCATTAATAAGCGACATGACGTGAATTCAATAGGAAATAATAAATTCAAGGGGATTATGGTGCTTGCAGTTCGATGTTGGTCCTATACAAAAAGTTGTTGTAATGAGCACCAGAACCACCCTCTTGGTGATTTGAAAGTGTTCCATAAAATACCCTTTAAATATTTCAATAATACTAACAGAACAAATGTCGTAGCCGCTGTCTACGGAGCGCGGTTCGTAGCTCGTAGCCCGGCTCTCAGCTACGAGATGCTACGAGCATTGCCGTCGTGTAGCACTTAGTTGCTACGATGTCGCTACGAAAGTGCATGTTATTCGAATTTGTTTTCGACTTGTCGCTCTCTCGACTTCATAAGCTGCGTTTCCACTATATTCTAAACAAGCTATTTTTAGGGTTCCGTAGCCAAATGGCAAAAAACGGAACCCTTATAGATTCGTCATGTCTGTCTGTCCGCCTGTCTGTCCGTATGTCACAGCCATTTACATTACACATACACGTACATTACTATAAAAATTGAAAATTGTTTTGAACGAGATCTACTAAGTAGTTTTTTTTAATACCTCGTAAATCGTAAACCGCTTATTACCGCGTAATGTTTCATACAAATAATTTAAATTAAAAAAAATAATAATTTCATAAATCAATGGTACGGAACCCTTTGTGCGTGAGTCCGACACGCACTTGGCCGGTTTTTTTAAATAAACTACTTTTTTTTTCTTTTTTCTTTCTGCTTCACCATAATGTATATTGTCCTATGGGTACTATTTTATCCTACTTTTGGTACTTTCTGTTTGTAATGTGTGTTTCTGTTATGCAAATAAACGTTTTATCTATCTATCTACTGTGCATCTTAAAGGTAGCTTAGGCAAATACAAGTAATCTCAGTATGTTTGCTAATATATTAGCTAGTAGCGATTGTAAAACGGAAGCAGAGCAAAAAAATATTATGTCAGTCAATATTATTGAGACTACTTTTTGGTTTCTTGTGGAACCATGTTTATCAAGTTACATTTAGAGATGATTATCGCCCGTATTCACAAACATTACTATGAGGTCTCACAGTGCGCGTGGACGCACAGGGTGACACACGAACCAATCATAGAGCTCTATTCAACGCGGTGCGTTCAATTTGCTGATTCACTTAAGCAAGCATCGTTTGTGAATATGGGTGTGTGAGTCCTTGTTAACTCATACATTTATCTTGATAGTGAACAGGAAAACACTTGATGAAANCTGAAAACAAGAATTATTTAAATAATTCAATTTCTGAATTGCTTTGTTGAACACGCAAATGCATTTTCTTGGTCTCCATTATCCTTTGTTTACTAACGAGTCCTGCCCTAACGAGCTAGTCTGGTCTGGTCGAGCACAAAAACTACATCTTAATCCTAGATTCTCTTTGACATGGACTCGGTGCTATCGCAAATCAGAGATCAAAGCAAAATTATTTATTTCGCTCACTCCACCTTTCGGCGTTTTCATAATAAAACCGAAAAGTAGGCCCCATTCAGCTCTCTAGAAGCTTTGTAGCTTGAACTTTGTAGCTCATACAAAATTAAATTGTGCTGCAAGACGGGATAAACTTAATTTTAGAAATGGTTCAACAATGTATTTCTTTTCTTGAATTTGTGCAAAGAAATGTATGCAGCAACTACCTTATATCTAAATAAGCTAGCTTTATTTATTAGCATTAATACGACATGTGAATTCATTAGAAAAAAGCCTAAGGGGATAATTCTGGTGTTGGAGTTCGATGTTGGTCCTATTCAAAAAAATGTTGTAATGAGCACCAGAACCACCCTCTTGGTGATTTGAAAATGTTCCATAGAATACCCTATAAATATTTCAATAATACCAGAGTAAATACAAATGAGTAGGTCATCTTCATAAAAACACACGCGCGTTAGCGGGGAGCCAGTCGTGGTTGCGCCGAATTTTGTCAGTGTGTGCGTGCGCGCCGCATACGTATATTGGCGCGCTCACATACAAACCGCGCTCAGTGCGTTTCTATGAAGATGACCTACTCATTTGGTTGTACTCTGATATAATACTAACAGAAGTAATTTCGTAGCCGCTGTCTACGGAGCGCGGTTCGTAGCTCGTAGCCCGGCTCTCAGCTACGAGATGCTACGAGCATTGCCGTCGTGTAGCACTTAGTTGCTACGACGTCGCTACGAAAGTGCATGTTATTCGAATTTGTTTTCGACTTGTCGCTCTCTCGACTTCATAAGCCGCGTTTCCACTATTCTAAACAAGCTATTTTTATAAAATAAACTACGTTATTTTTTTCTTTCTGCTTCACCATACCATGTTATATTGTCCTGTGGGTACTATTTTATTCTACTTTTGGTACTTTCTGTTTCTGTTATGCAAATAAAGTTTTTATCTATCTATCTACTGTGCATCTTAAAGGTAGCTTTGGCAAATACAAGTAATCTCAGTATGTTTGTTAATATATTAGCTATTAGCGATTGTAAAACGGAAGCAGAGCAAAAAAATATTGTCGGCCCTGCATCCCGCGGGCGCGGGTGAAAACGCGCCGTGAGTTCTTAACCTAACCGCGCAAATAACCGCTCCCGTGAGTTTAAAATGAAACCGCAATTCCACAACCGCCGCGGGCGCGTGTGAGAATCGCGCCGTGAGTTCTTAGCCTTAGGCTGCGTTTACACCAATTTTTTTAGCTGTGAAGACTTATTCCCTCACTCATAGATAGTTGAATTACTCGTTTAGTAGAGTCATAAATAAACTTTCCTTATCGCCCTAGTTCGTATGAGACCGTCATCACCTTAATCCGAGCCATACTTCGCGGGTATTCGAACAGTAAAACTCGATTAGCCAGCTCATAGGAGGTCGCACTCGGCTAATGTCCGCATTACCCGGATTAACCTCCTGGCACCTAACTTTACAATCGCACAACGGATCTTATTTCCTAAGTTTTACAACTTAACCCGGTCAACATGTTTCGGTTAATGTGATAAATTGAAAATTATTCATAATTACCGGTTATTATGAATAATTACCGACAGTCGCGGTAAAAGTGATAAATTAATCACATTTAACAGTGATTATTTGATAATTCAACCTTAGTACTAACAAATTTCATAAAAGAGAACAACATCTTGTGTACGTGCTCGTGTACAGCCAAACTTTTNGTACTCCCTCGCTCGGGTTCCTTCCACCTATAGATCGTTTCATCCACGAAGACGCGCCCCACCATTCATCCGCTAATGTTGGAATGTTATCGGTACATGCTAAATTATCCATGAGTGCACACGCACACTACAATAATGACGCTCGGATAGCTCGGATCTAACTCCTCGCACCTCGCGGGAGCGCGACCAAAAATTGGTGGAGCGCTTCTTCGTGAATGAAACGATCTATAGCGGCTGATTCGGGCTTCGAGCCAGACGGTGACGAGGTCGTTCGGATTAACCTGTGACTCAACTTTGACACCACTGTCCCTCCCTCGGCGCGGTACCCACCAGCCCACCGGGTGAGACGAAAAAACATTAGAATCTCAAGTCTTATGTTAATTCAATCTGCACATATTATTTTACGAGTTCTAAATTTAGACTACTGTTAATTAAAAGTGAAGTTTGTACAATACTATCGATTTAAAATAATATCTTTTTCTTTGCAAAACGAATAGCTTGTCATTTAAAAAACTAAAACCCAACTACGACAAAAAACGACGCTAAAAAAGTATAAAATAAGATTTTCAGAATACTGNGTACTCCCCGCGGACGCTGCTGGAGGCGTCGTGTACGCCCCGCTGGTGGAGTGGGGACCTGACGAGCTCACGTGAGTACTCCCCGCGGACGCTGCTGGAGGCGTTGTGTACGCCCCGCTGGTGGAGTGGGGACCTGACGAGCTCACGTGAGTACTCCCTCGTGCGGGTTCCTTCCAACTACTGTTTCATCCACGAAGACGCGCGCCATGTTATCCGTACATGGTAAATTATCCATGAGTGCACACGCCCTCTCAATAATGACGCTCGGATCTAACTCCTCGCACCTCGCGCTCCCCTCGACCAAAATTGGTGGGGCACTTCTTCGTGAATGAAAAGATCTATAGCGGCTGGTTCGGGCTTTGAGTCACACGGTGACGAGGTCGTTCAGAAACCTGTAACTCAACTTTGACACCACTGTCCCTCCCTCGGCGCGGTACCCACCAGCCCACCGGGTGAGACGAAAAAACATTAGAATCTCAAGTCTTATGTTAATTCAATCTGCACATATTATTTTACGAGTTCTAAACCTAGACTACTGTTAATTAAAAGTGAAGTTTGTACAATACTATCGATTAAAAACAATATCATTAACTTTTTCTATGCAAAACGAATAGCTTGTCATTTAAAAATGTATTTATTCGTTCAATTTGTCGACATAAAAAAGCGCCGACAGACCAAAACAAATGTGGGAATTGAGATAGCGAGCATCAAGCGGCCCGACACGGGATCTAACAATGCAGTATTTATTGCTTCCGCTTCCGATCACTATTTTTTGTCAGCGCACAGCGGAGCTATTACGTAGATCTACTTTTTTGGATTTTAGGGAGTCTGCAAAAAGTACAATAAACCGATCCATTTGTTTGTACTTTCGTAAGTATTTTGCTGTTGCACAGTCTTTTAAAATCACTTGGAAGCGGACATTTTTTGGTGAATAGATGACATGATTTAACAAGTAAATCTAAGTAAATTCCTAAAAGAAACCCGTGGTCTATCTTCAACAGCTTTCGAGAAAATTTTTTTTTAATTTGGCTTATTTTGTGTGTGTTAAAATACGATTTTTGGTTTATCTGTTCTTTTGTTGAAGTTGTAACACAATTGACTTATGTGAGTAATAAAGCACACAATTTCCCTTTTTTTGAGCTATACATCATATTCTAAAGCTTTGTAGATCCGGAGAAATTATAAAAAAACTGATTTTTGGTTTTTAATTTTTTAAATTTAAGTTGTACATTTTGAGCAATAACGAATTATTGCATGTTATAAAAGACCTTTTATTTTACTCACGAAAAAAAAATCACCGAATTTTGAGAACATACTTTTGAGAAATTTGCATTTGAAATTTCGTGTTATGCAACGCCTTCTGAAAAGCTCTTGGCAAACACAAACTTTCGTCATTGCTATTAAAATATTGTCTGGCGATATTGTACTGGTCAATTTAGTGCAAGGCAGGCAGTGTTTAGGGTTACTAATTTGTTCTATTACGTACTTCAGCCCGCACTGGATGGACAAATGGAGATCAAAGTTGTGATTCTCCACTACAAATGAGATTGCGTATTAGCAATGACAAAAGTTTGTTTTTGCCAAGAGTTTTTCAGAAGGCGTTGCTTAACACGAAATTTGAAATGCAAATTTCTCAAAAGTATGTTCTCAAAATTCGGTGTTTTTTTTTTCGTGAGTAAAATAAAAGGTCTTTTATAACATGCAATAATTCGTTATTGCTCAAAACGTACAACTTAAATTTAAAAAATTAAAAACCAAAAATCAGTTTTTTTATAATTTCTCCGGATCTACAAAGCTTTAGAATATGACTTATAGCTCAAAAAAAGGGAAATTGTGTACTTTATTACTCACTTAAGTCAATTGTGTTACAACTTCAAATAAAGAACAGATAAACAAAAAAACGTATTTTAAAACACACAAAATAAGCCAAATTAAAAATTTTTTTTCTCGAGAGCTGTTGAAGATAGACCACGGGTTTCTTTTAGGAATTTACTTAGATTTACTTGTTAAATCATGTCATCTATTCACCAAAAAATGTCCGCTTCCAAGTGATTTTAAAAGACTGTGTGTTGTAGTAAATTTATTGTTGGATACGAAAAATGGGCCATAATTTATGTATAATACATACTACGAATATGTTTGAGATATAAAGAGTACATTCAAGAACGATCTGTTAAGGAGCAGAAATGGTAGGATCTATTCATTTAACTTATTCTATTTTTGGATGGTGCAAAAACACGCTCCGGAAGGCACTGCCTCGGTTCCACTATAATCCTTGAATATCTCAAATTACATCTGGAAACAATGCATAATATACATGAGACAACAAATGGGCCCCGACAACCCATTCCAAACTTAAGGTAAACGTAATAAAGCTTCTTTACGGCCGGCAAACAACGGCGCGCTTTGTTTTGGCACAAAAACGAGTATTTAGCAAACTTTGCGCAGCTGTGTGCACAGATAGTGCGGCGAGGGCGGCAATAAAAATGAATAGTATCGCTTTACACCACTCGCGATGATACCCTGAATTTAACAAAAGGTTTTCCCCTTTTAGATACAATGACAGTGACACGTTTGAGTTTCACCCTCAGTTTCAGATAAATTATACTGATGAAACCATTAATTTGCAATGTAAATATTACCTGACGTCATTATTTAAACACGAGATATTTACGGCCAGGTAATTTCACGCGAACATACATGCATAATTTCGGCGGTCTTACAGATATTATAATTGTTAATGTGCCACTAAAAGCCATGTCGATTGAACGCGTCGCTTCCGCAAACAGCCGCTTGAATTATTGAACAACATTCACTTCCGTCCTTAATCATTCAACAGGTTTGCAAAATTGTGCATTAATGATGAGCGGTTTGGTTCCAGGGAACAGTTCACCGCGCTGCTGCCCGAGATCAAACAAGCCGCGGACAACTGGCTGAAAGAGGACGAAGAGCTGACGTCTATCGAAACGAAACTTCAGGAGTGCCACCAGCAAATGGCGCTCATCAAAGAAATAGAAGCGTATGGACCCAATTTGAACAACCATCCTCTGTACGCTATCTCCCAAAAGTACAGCTCGTACAAACAAGCCAAGAACGCTGTAGAAGATTCGATGAAAGCGCTCGTGAAGATACTGAAAGATTTTGACGCGCAGATAGAAGCGTTCGCGGAGACGAACGAAGCTTTGAATGGTCCGCAGTTAATGTCGTGGGTCCAGGAATTTTCAGGAACAAATGAGGACGATGAACTGCCGATATTCGAACACATCAAAGATTTCCTCACAAACGCTGGACAAAGTTCGATGATATCCCAGTGTGAGCAAGCCGAGACCGAGCTAAATCAGAGCGTGCAACAGACAGGTCACCTGGTTAGGTCGTGCTTGGAGCTTCTGTCGCAGTACGTAGCGGTCTCCCAGTACTACCCACAGAGCCACACTGAGTACCACCGAATAATGATGTTCCGTAAATTCTTGGCCGCGGCACTGGACAGCAGATCACCTGAAGTTTGTCGCGACGTTTCCAACCAGGTCAATACTCTGATGTTTACCGAGAACAACAACAACGACGCCACCCAAATCGTGGCGTACAACTACCGCTTGCAAACGATCAGCGCGGAAGCTAACGTGGCTCTGAACAAAGCCATGGAGAGATTGCAATTAGAAGGTGGACCTGACGCGTTGACTTTAGCTCAGGAAGCGTACAATGAAGCAAAATCTAACATAAGCAATTGGGTGAGGACTGAGGAAGGTGCCGCATCGGCACTAGAATGTGTCGTCATTGGAATGTTGTGTAACTTGAACAGGAGATATCTTATGTTGGAGAATGGAGCTCAGAGCGCTGGCGACTGTCTCGTCGACCTGACGTCGAGGGAAGGGGAATGGTTCCTGGACGATATGAGCGCTCTGTCAATGCAAGCCGTGGAGTTACTTTCCCTGCTGCCGCTGCAGTCTGCCTCAGCTGAGGAAGCCGCTATGCCGGTCGCGGTGGAATGCGTCCGGAACGCGAACCTTCTTCTGGCAGATTTGGTTCAACTGAATTACAACTTCAGCACGATCATTCTCCCCGAGGCGCTGAAGAAGGTGCACTCCGAGGACCCGTCGGTGCTGCTGATGATCACGGAGCTAAACGCGGTCATCGTGAACAGCCCGGTGCCGCTGAACGATCTGCTGGCACAGCTGGAACTGCATTTGAGATATCTTATCATGGACATGGAGGTAAGCACTACATTAAACGGACATATTACAAATTTATTTTTCTACTCTCCTGTGCACCATTAAAATAAAAAAAATCCCTATTAATTAAAATCATTAAATATAATTGTGCCTAAACAATACCAGGATTAAATCTTAATATTCATTATGGTGTCACTAGTTTACACGGTGTTAAGGAACATAAAACGTACAGTTATCGAAAGATTAGAGAATAATCTAATACCTACGTTTTTGGTAAATCATATCAAGATAGTGATCAACTCATGTTGCTTACAATCCATACCAATAGAAGACTATTATTATACTAGCGGCCGCCCGCGACTTCGTGAGCGTAGATCCCGTTTTACCCCCTTATGGGTGGAGTTTCTTAAAATCCCGTCTTAGTGAGCAGCGAGCACCTACGTTCTGAAGGGAACCCCCATGTAAAATTTGAAACTCCTAGCACTTGTAGTTTTTGAGATTTCGTGATGAGTGAGTTAGTGGCAACTAAAGCCCGTAGTAGCCCCCTGTGAGCACGTAGAATTTTGTCCAATGACCCCAAGCTACCCATCCTTATCGCTCGCGCGTAATTATACAGGGTGGAAACGTTAAGTGATCTCATTCGATTATTTCTCAACTATACAAGATATTGAAAAACTGGTTACTGATCCTGAAAGTGCTTAATGAGCTCTTTCAAACGGTACCAATAATAGGTTACAGAATAAACTGAACCTATCTGAAAATTCAATGTTTCCAGCTTCCATACTAAATGTATGCCAGATACACAATATTAGAAGTGTAATTTTAACAAACAAACTTAAAATAAACTCGTAAATTGTATTCTTATTTTAAATTATTCATGGAAAACATTGGTTATAGGCTTTGCTTGCTATAATATTGTCAAGAGATGAGTGTCGTGACTGTGGTAGTACTAAATGCATGGAAGAAGGAAACATTGAATTTTTGGTTAGATCCAGTTTATTCTGTAACCTATTATTGATACCATTGGATAGAGCTTGTGAAGCACTTTTAGAATCAGTAATCAGTTTTACGATATCATGTGCAGTTTTTAAAATAATGTGACTTTACCAAATGTATGGAAGCTGGAAACATTGAATTTTCGGATAGATCCAGTTTATTCTGTAAGCTATTATTAATACCGTTAGATAGAGCTCATGAAGCACTTTCAGGATCAGTACTCTAATCACTAGTTTATTGATATCTTGTATAGTTTAGAAATAATCGACTGAGATCACTTATCGTTTCCACCCTGTATTGCTGTCGCGACTGTGCGACGGGCGTCTGCAGTGAGTGTGCGAGCGCGACAACAACATAATTACGCGCGAGCGATAAGGATGGGTAGCTTGGGGTCATTGGAAAAAATTCTACGTGCTCACAGACCAGACTACAGTGGTGACTGAGTTTATTCCGGCGTATTTTCTCAGCACTTGACATACGAGTATGTTTGTTTCGAAACGCTGGTAGGACGCAAAAGATGAGGAGACATGTAAAGTGCCCCTTAAGGGCTACCTTTTTTTACTGTGTTTTGACGTTTATAAGTGCCACTAGTGGTCTAAATTGAATGAAATTATTTTGATTTTGAGTCAGTGACCTTTCGCTTTTGTATATTAAAGCCCGGTCACTCGCTCGCACACTCACTGCGGGCGCCTGTCGCACAGTCGCGACAGCAATATTACGCGCGAGCGATAAGGATGGGTAGCTTGGGGTCATTGGACAAAATTCTACGTGCTCGCAGACCAGACTATAGATCTATAATGTTTTGTTGCTATAAATAAGGGTATCTCCCAGTCCCCAGCGAGCAGCGCGCAGCTGCTAGCAGCAGAACTGCGCGCGCGCTACGAGGCGCTGCTCTCAGCGGACGGCGAGGGCGAGCAGGGCGCGGGCCGCATGCTGCTCATGGGCTTCAACGGGCTCTTCGCGGCCGTTGAGCTGCGCGCGCGAGAGCTGGCCGACCACCTGGCCGTGCCCATCCCGCCCGCCTGGCGCAAGATCGACCACATCAGCGACGCCATGCACATGTCGGTAAGTCGCCAACCTGATCTCTTTGTAGGTATCCTTCGTAGGACGTCATCATGCGAAATCATCTAGGGAAATAAGAACGAGCCTAAAGGAAGGTCGAACATAGCAGCGACGCCATGAACATGTCGGTGAGTCGCCAACTTGACCTCTTTGTAGGTATCCTTCGTAAGACGTCAATATGTGCAACCAGCTAGGGCAATATGAACGAGCCGGCCTGAAAGAAGATCGGCCACATCAGCGACGCCATGCACATGTCGGTGAGTCTTCAATCTGATCTCTTTGGTGTGTAGGTATCCTTCGTAAGACGTCATTATGTGCTACCAGCTAGGGCAATATTACCCTTCGTAGGGCGTCATCACGGGAAATCATCTAGGGAAATAAGAACGAGCCTAAAGGAAGGTCGACCACATCAGCGACGCCATGCACATGTCGGTGAGTCGCCAACCTGACCTTCGTAGGGCGTCTCGCGAAACGAGCTAGGGAGTCGCCAACCTGATTGATCTCTTTGGTGTGTAGGTCCTTCTTAGGGCGTCACCTCGCGAAACGAGCTAGGGCAATAAAAACGAGCCAGCCTGAAGGAAGATCGGCCACATCAGCGACGCCATGCACATGTCGGTGAGTGGCTAACCTGACCTCTTTGTAGGTATCCTTCTTAGGGCGTCATCTCGCGAAACCTGCTAGAGAAATAAGAACGAGCCAGCCTGAAGGAAGATGATGAGTGGCTGTGTATATCGCAAGATACGTAACAATCTACAGCTATTAGGGGAAATCTGTCTAATGGAAGGTTGATTACTTGCATCAACGAGATCTGCACACTTGAGCTTTAGGGCTCCTGTACACGACGCCGCCACCACGCCGCCGCCGCGCCTTTGTACTGTTTATACGCGCCGCGTGAACACCGCTGCCGCGCCGCGGGCAAAATAATTATGCTTTGACGGCGCGGCGGCGGCGGGGTGACGATGTCGTGTGCAAGAGCGCTTAGTCTGCGGGCACGAAACGGCGGCGATGAGGAATAGTATTGCGATCGCTCCTCTATTTCGTGCGCGTCACCTTACTGACATGTTGTTGTATGCAACGCCCCGCGCCAGTTTCGTGTCCGCAGACTTGTAGTTGACGAAAACTAAAGTAACATGTTTGCTATGGTGCACCCGCAGGCAGCCCTCCAGAGCCCGGTGCTGCGCTCGGTCCTGGAGGACGTGTTCCTGGTGCGGCGCGTGCAGACCGTGGCCGAAGTATTCGCCATGTGCGTGGGCTCCNAGCTGGAATTGCATTTGAGATATCTCATCATGGATATGGAGGTAAGCATTGCATTAAACGGACATATAATTTTTCTACTCTCCTGTGCGCCATTAAAATCAAGAAAAATAATCCTTATTAATTAAAATCATGAAATAAAAATATGCCTAAACAATACCAGGATCAAATGTAACAATTTCATTATGGTGTCACTTGTTCACACGGTGGTAAAGAACTTCATAACACGTCCAGTTATTGATAGATCTTTCATATAGGATACTTTATCATCAGAAATTAGTGCAATACCTTTGTTAGATCAGCACTTGTAGTTTCTGAGAGAGAGACAGTCAGTCTTGACCTTTCGCTTTTGTATATTTAGATCAATAATGTTTTCTTACGTCTTCCGGCTCCGGCTCACCGGGCAGGCCTCCCACTAAGTGGACCGACGATCTGGTGAAGGTCGCGGGAGGTGCCTGGATGCGAGTGGCACAGGACCGGTCTTTGTGGAAATCCTTGGGGGACGCCTTTGTCCAGCAGTGGACATCTTTCGGCTGAAACGAACGAATGTTTTGTTGCTATAAATAAGGGTATCTCCCAGTCCCCAGCGAGCGGCGCGCAGCTGCTAGCAGCAGAACTGCGCGCGCGCTACGAGGCGCTGCTCTCAGCGGACGGCGAGGGCGAGCAGGGCGCGGGCCGCATGCTGCTCATGGGCTTCAACGGGCTCTTCGCGGCCGTTGAGCTGCGAGCGCGAGAGCTGGCCGACCACCTGGCCGTGCCCATCCCGCCCGCCTGGCGCAAGATCGACCACATCAGCGACGCCATGCACATGTCGGTGAGTCTTCAATCTGAGGTGGAATTGTATAAAGCAATCGTAATCACAGTAGCGGCGTAAGGGGGCGGGGGGGCGGTGGGGGCGGTCCACCCCGGGTGCCAAGCATCAGGGGGTGACACAGTCGCGAAGATTAGTACTCACTAGCGCATCTGCATGGCAAATCTGCGGTCTATGTCATGATACGGGGGGTGCGATTGTCTTTCAATCTTCGAATCGGTAGGTAACCCCCAAAATCCTGGAGGGTACCAGGGGGTGCCTTAGTATGACGGGGGGGGGGGG